AAAGTTAAAGTACTCTAATATTTCTGTCTGTCCTTACATGATTATTTTTCAACCAGTCAAGTTTTTGAATTCCACCTCAGCATATCAAACAATGGCAGCAGAGTCCATGCATTGCAGGGGTAGAATAAGAAAAAGTTTGAAGCAAGTAGTATGAACAAACATTGAGAATTCTAGGAAGAATATTGCAAATCTTGATAGTCTTTAAGAGGATCATACAACAAGCAGAGTACTGCAGAGTAGAACAGAACAAGAGGTGAGGAAATAACTAGAATAGGAGATTACACTGAGTTTTTTTATTACATTCAGTTTTTTTCATTATTATTTTTTTTATTTGAAATGCATTTATTTAATTTGTTTATTTATAATGTATTTTAATATCAAGTCAATTGTAGGTTTTGTACAACATAAAGAAGAAACTTCCTTTGTCTCAATATTAATTATATTAATAAATTGTAAAAAGAGTATCTTGAACACCTAATAGATGACTTGTTAATCTCTTTTCTTTCTATTTTGTTGATATCAGAACACAGATGAGGAGGAGGCGGAGCTTAGTATTTACTGTGTCATCTGGTTCGCCGAGAACCATCAGACATTTTCAAATATGTTTAAGAAAGGTATGATCAAATATTTGATTTGTTAGTTAGAAATCTTTCTTTATTCTGGATACTCAGTATTTTTACACTGTTCTTCCCTGAGGTCCCGGGTATTATTTGTTTGTTGATAAGAACTAATCATAGGGTCAATCTTGAGTGATCATTATATACAGTTCTCTGTAATACATGATTACACACTACTGTGTACTGGATAACAGTAGAACTGTACTACAAAGCACAGACCCTATATACAATATATAGGGTCAGTGTACAAAGTAAGCCACAAAAATGAATAGCAATTATTATACTATAGAGACATCTATACAGATTTAGATGATTTATTGTCAAAGTATACCATGAAGAAATATAAAATGGAATTGGTTTTAATGCAGGTTAATATTTACAAATAAATGTCAACAA